ATAAGGTAAAAATAGAGAACTTCACCTTATCTGCAAAAGTCTTCCCCAGGATACTTTGTTTCTTTTTCTACTCCCTTGTGATTATCCTTTGTTTACCTTCCTGATGATTCTCAATAAATACACAGAGAGGCATGATTTGGGTGCTTCAGTCGTCAGGACTGCTGGTCCTGTCTTGACTCTCTCATCTCATTGTTTGTCTGTCTCATTATTACTTTACCGTCAGTTTGCAACAACGGGCAATCATTACATACATGTCCTCGGGATTCAATCTGTGAAGTAGTAGATGTGTCATCTACAATTTTATTTTCTAAGATGACAAATTAGCAACTGTTTCAAGAAGTGTTGAACAGAACTGTTGACTCAGCTCTGCTCTTGAAGCTGGATAGCCAACAGACACAAATATGTGAGGCTGCTTTGAAATAGAATTTTATGGTGTTGTGAGGTGCTGATCTGAACCCTACCCTATCCTGTACCATCCTCATCATCTCTGCCACCCAACAGCCCCTTGTTTCAGTCACTGTCATTCCATCTCAGTGAGGGACTTCCCTTCCTTGAGAGACCTTCCACTTTGCAGAGCTTGATGCCTTGCTCCAAGGACGCGCCCCTCCCAACAACATGCCTGAAGCATATGACATGGCTTTACCATCCTTTCCTCAAAGGATGCACTCTCTCCAAGACATATTGATTAGGTCTTTTGGCCCTCCATGGGATATTTAGTACTCTTCTCTGATACAATTCAAAGGCATCAATTCTTCTGTCATCCTCATCCATTGTTCAACTTCCAGATGCAGAGGAAGCAACTGAAAATACCAAGGCTTGGATCAGGTGCACCTTACTCTTTAAAATGACAGCCTTGCTCTTATAGCCCTTTGGCGAGGTTCTTGACAGCAGATTTCCCCAATGCAACATGGTTTTGATATCTTGACTACAGTTATCATGGGTGTTGATTGTGGACACAAGTAAAATGAAATCACTGACAACTTCTGTCTTTTCTCCATCTGTCATGGTGTTTCCTACTGGTCCAGTGGTGAGGATTTTTGTTTTCTTGAAATCAAGATGTAATCTATATTGTGCTTCAAGTCTTCTTCACCGTCTGCAATAATTTGATTGTGTGAATCAAAACAAATTATAGCTAATGTTAAGAAGAATGGGGATCCCAGAACACGTAACTGTACTTGCGTGAAACCTATACCTGAGGGTGAGCAAGGGAACATGCATAGTTTAAAATCAGGAATATATCTTTCTCCATATATGTTCAATCTGTATGCTAAGAAAATAGGGCTGTATATATCTATGTCTGTATGTGTGTGTGTGTGTGTGTGTGTATATATATATATGAATGATATATATGAATGTAACATCAGGATCAGAAGAGTATTTATCAATAACCTGTGTTGTGCAGATGACTTAATCAGATGACATAATCTTGACACTACTAATTAAAATATGCTCTATTTTTATTCTGGGCCAATGACAGCATCATGGTAGATAAAGATTGTTAACAACTTTAGCTTGCTTGGTTCCACAATCAACACTCTTGGTACCAACAGTGAGGAAATCAAAAGATGAACTGCATTGGGAAAATCTGCTGTCTGAGTCCTCTGCAGAGTACTGAAGAGCAGTGATGTCAGTCTAGAGACTAAGGTGTGCCTGATCCAAGCCATGGTCTTTGCAATTACTTGCTATGCATCAGAGAGTTGGACAATGACTAAGGATGACAGAAAAATTGATGCCTTTGAGTTGTGGTGCTGAAGAGGAGTACTGAACACACCATGGACTGCTAAGAGAATAAACAGGTCTGTCCTGGTAAAAGCAGGTTGCTCCATGGAGGCAAAGATTGTAAAGCTCTGTTTCACATTTTTGGGCATGTTGCCAGGAGGGACCAGTCCTTGGAAAGGTGGAGGGACAGCACAAGAGATAAAGGCCTTGGATCAGATGGATTGACTTAGTGGGGCAATGGGGGTAGGTATGTCAGAGACAATGAAATTGGCTCAGGACAGAGCAGGGTTCAGAGCTGCTGTACATAGGGTCACTATGAGTTGCAAGTGACTCAACAGTACATAACAACAACAAAAATATTTTTATTCAAAGAAGTCTTGAAAGTTTTAGGGTTTGAGAAAATGAATTCTCCTGGAATCCTAATTTCTGGGTTCTGTGGAAATGAAGCTTTATCTCACACACTTTGGACATACTGGTTGGAGAGGGATATAATACTTGGGAAGGTGGAGACAGTTAAGGAGAGAAAGACCCTTTGCCGAGTGAGTTGAGTCACTGCGACAATGGGCTTGAGTGTCAGAGATTGTGAGGTTAACACAGGACAGGACAGGATTCAGGTCTGTGGTGTGTATGGTCGCAGTGAGTCACACTTAACTCGATGACACCTAAAAACCTGGAGTCAAGACTGAACAATGTTTATTTAGCTCTGTTCTACACAGGGCCTCTATGATTCTAGACCAACTCAACAGCAAATTTGAGTTGGGGAGACCCACCGAGGTCATTGCTCTGAATCTTTTGAACTTAGTCCTTGAGAAACAATAGCCTAGCTTCTTGTTGTTATTGTTGTGTCTGTTGGGTAGGAACTGACCCATAGCTGACCCTCCAGAGGGGTCTTCAGAGGCTGTAAACTTCATGGGAGGAGATTGCCCGCCCTTCTCAGCAGGCCAGGGGGTAGACTGGTACAGTGTGTTTCAGGACTGCAGCACCGCTTCTGACCACTGGGCCACCAGCGCTCCCCAGTAACTAGCTTAGGGAAGACTGTTCTTAGTTCTTGAGCTTTTTTTAATTATTTATGCACAATAAATTTATAGGGAGCTCTGGTGGCCTAGTGGCGAGAAGCTGCACTGCAATCTCAGAGGTGCACGGTTCAAATCCACCAGATGCTTTGCTGGAAAAGGATGGACAATCTCCTCCTGTACCAATCAGATCTGACTTGACAGTACACACACACACAAATAATAATTTAAAAAAATTAAAAAATAAATTTAGGAGGGAGCTTGATCAGTCAGTCCCTTGAGCTTTGCAGTACAAAGCAAATAGGCTTTTCCTTGCTGGAGACTGGAAACCACCAGGCCCTCCTTGGCAGAAAGATGGGCAATCTCCTCCTGTACAATATGTTGTTGTTAGGTGCCGTGGAGTTGAGTACAATTCATGGTGACCCTATGAACCAAAGATCTGAACCCTGTTCTATCCTGTGCCATCCTCACATGTTCTGACACACAAAAGTCCATTGCAGCAGTCACTGTGTCAGTCTACCTGGTTGAGGGTTCTCCTCTCCTTCACAGACCCTCCAACCTTCCCAGCATCATGTCCTCCTCCAAGGACTAGCCCCTCCTAGCAATATGCCCAAAGAATGTGAGGTGAAGCTTCATCAATCTTGCCTCCAAAGAGCTGTCTGGCAGCACCATCTCCAAGACATATCTGTTCGTTCTCTTGGCTGCCTGTGGGATGTTCAGTGCTCTTCTGCAGCACCACAGCTCGAAGGCGTCAATTCTTTTTCTATCATCCTTATTCACTGTCTCTGAAAACCCAGTGGCGTGTCAGATGAGTCCGTGCAAATCCCACAGCAATGACCGGCTCAGTAGGGAGGAACTCAAGCTCCCAATCAGGCCAGAGCCCATGCTCTGGAGCAAAGTGTGTTTCCATGGCAATGCAGACACTATGGAGTAGAAGAATTCTGGAAGTTAACTCTCGAGCCCAAACGAAAAGAGTGCTGGTGGTATTGTAAGTAAGGCATTCTGTGAATAACCCAAAGGTGGGCAGTTGGAACCCCGAGCCGATGGCAGCCCTGGGAACCCTGTGGGGCAGTTCTCCTCTGTCCTGAGTGGTCACCCTTAGCAGACTGGATGGCAACTAACTTACTGATTTTTGCTGCTGTGACGATATAAACAGTGTCCTGGTGTTGTTGCCATGGCGATGCTGCTACGATGTCGGACTCCAGTTTTTGGGCAGTTGTTTTTATCTGTGCACCTGAGTTCTGGAGGTCTAGTGGGTTGAGTTCTGCTGCCAGTGCAAAGGCAGGCGGTTCGAATCCACTGTTGCTCCCCAGGAGAGAGCTGGGCGATCTCCTGCCGGTCGATTTACAGCTTCGGAAAGTGCCCTGGAGGGTCAGCCCGAGTCCAGGGGCCAGAATGGTCCAAAAATACGCGTGCGCTTTGGGTTTTACATCCACATTGCCAAGGTCCTCTCTAAAGTGCTAAAGCCTAAGGGTGCACAATATGAAAAGATAGATAAAGAGAGAGAGAGAGAGAGAGAAAAAAAAGCAAAAAGTCAGAAGGGCACCCAGCCCCATCGTTTCGGGGGCTCATGCAAGCTCAAAGGTTCCAGATGGATGGTCCCACTTGACAGGTGTAAGCCAAGCCCGGAGGCCGGTCCTGCAGAGGCGCCAGGTCCCCCAGCCGGCGCCCGGCGGAGGCTCGTTACCTCGGACCTCTGTTCTGCCATCTCGGCCACTCCGTGGTCTCCTCGCGGGGCAGAACGACTCAGGTCCCAACGACCTGAGCAGAGGCCACGAAAGGTCGGCTCCTCGGGACGTCTGCAGGAAGCTTCTGCAAGTCCAAAGGGAGTCCTCCCTACAGGACCGATCGTCGTCCGCGGCTTCGCCAATCAAGCATTCTCTCCCGGCGGGGAGCCCTCAAGAAAAATGCAAAAAAAAAAAAAAAGAAAGAAAGAAAAACACGCAGGTGCCTCGGACTGTTTTTACGCACCGAGAGGCCGGTCAGCAGGCCCGCAGGACACGAGCGAGGCCGGCGGCGCAGGAGCTCTGCGCGTCCCACGTCCCCTCCGCCGGCGGGAAAAGGAGGTGCAGGCCGTTACTGCGCAGGCGCGTGCCCGGAGCGCGGAGAGGCGGGGAGTGCGGATCAGCGCCAACCCGCGACAGGCCGAGCGCGCATGCGCGGGTCGTCCGCCTCGGCTTGGCCGCTGCGCACGCGCGGGAGTTCCTGGCTGAAAGCAGGCGAGCCCGGGCCGACGCGGGGCCTTGTGGGAGGGCTTAAGGAAGTAAAATGGCGGACCTGGCGAACGAAGGTAGGGGAGGCGCCGTCGGGGGCCAGTTAGCGGACAAGGGACGGGCGGGAGGAGGTCCAGGGGCCACGGGCCCCAGGGATGAGCACCCCGGAGCTAAACGGTCCGGCCGGCGCCGGCCTCACTGCCCAGCGGGCCTCTCCGCCGCCCCCCGTGGCGTCCTCTAAGGCTGGGCTCACCGGCCCGGCCCATCACTCCCGGCGGCTCCAGCCTCCAGCGGCGTCCGGTCGGGGCAGCCGGGAGGCCGCCGGAGCCTCGCCGCCGGGCCGGGAGCCAAGGGGGGCGGGGGGGTGTCGGCCTCGGATGTAAATAGACAATCGGGCCTGGTGCTGGGCCGCGCGCCGCGCTCCCCCTGCCGCCCGCCCGGCGGGGACCCCGGAGACCTCCCGGAGACCCCCCGGCGACCCCCGGCCGCGGGCCCCGTGAGCTCCTCCCCCGCCGAGGGCCGAGGCGGCCGCGGGGTGCCCGCTCCCCTTCGTGACAAGCCGACAGCCGAGCCCCGCTGCGCCCCGTTTACGGGGAACCCCTGCAGGATCCGGGCCGCTGGAACGCACGGCTTTTTTTCCTTTTGCCATTTTTAAAACACTATGTGCTGCCTGTCCAGAGGCCATGTGACTGCCCTTCCCCGGAGAGCGCTGACATCCCGTGTGAGCGTCTCTTCGGGGTCCCCACCCCCCGAAAATCCCCCCAAAATCAGCCTCACCGGCGGGGTTACAGGGAGGCCCCCCACCTGTGCGGCCCCGAGTCCCCCCGTCTGCATCGCCTCCCGGCCATTAGGGGGGTCCCAGAGGTGTCCACACTGGGGTGCACCGTCTTATGGGTGAGAATACAACGTGCTCACCTTTGGGGAGCACTCGGAGGGGGACCCCAGAGAACGTGACAGGTCCTGAAACGTGCCAGCCCTGGCCTGAACACCCTCTAGCAGCCCCATGGGGTGGGTGGTCGCAGCTCGCATTGATTAGGGTGATTAATCGATCTCTTAAAGGCTACACTTGTCTGCACAGCCCAGTAAGGAGCAGGGATGCGAACCCAGGGGGTCAGCCTTCAGAGCCCCCCCCAACTCCTGACCATTCGACGCTGCACCTTGTTGGGGTTCACCCTCGGTTAGAGGCCCCAGTGGCTCAGCTGGCAAGCGCTAGGCTGCCTCTGCCCGAAAGGTTGGCAGTTCCATTCCCACCCCGACCCTCCCTAGGAGGAAAAAAACGTGGTGATCTGTGAACAACCCCCCACCCCCACCCCAGGAAAACCCTGCAGGGCATTTCTGCTCTCTGTCACCTGGGGTCATTAAGAGTCCACCAATCCACTGGACAACAGCCTGGGCCAAGATGCAGTTAAAGGCAGAAGAGGGATTGGATGAAAGAAGCACTCTGACAGTTGCATAGGGGAGCCCTGGTGGCCTCCTGATAAGGAGCTGGACAGTCAACCCAAAGGTGTACAGCTCGAATCCACTCCTTGGGAGAAAGATGGGCAGTCATCCCTCCTGCGGTTTTACTGTCTCTGAAAACCCATTAGAGGGTCAGCTGTCAGTGGGTTCTGGCTTGGTGGTAGGCAACAACTCCTGTATCCAAGAGCCAATGTGACATTTCCATTTGGGTAGAAGATCGAGAACAGGCATAGCACACAACAAACGTTCAAAACAAAAGACCCCCGTTTTCCTCCCTAAAACCTGCCCAGTTACCCCACCCCCCCATCCCCAACAAACTGCTTGTCCCCCTCATTTAGTGCGCTCACCCCTGGAAACATGTCCAGGAGCAGAACTGCCTTCCAGATATTCCCAGAGGGTGACCATCTCTCGCCACCAGCATTGTGCCTGATTGAGCCCCCTCTCTTTCTAACACAGTCCATTCAACTTCTCAGCCCCAAAGCCAGGGCTCGCTCCGTCCCATGCGTCCCTGACCTCTGTCCCTCCACTGTCTGCCTGGCTCATTCACGTTTCTTGAATGTTCCAGACACTGCTTTCTCTAGGCCTTGGATCTTCTAGTTCCTTTGCTGTAAACTGTCTTCCCAGATCTCCCTCGTCACTGGCCCTTTCACCTGAAAAGTCATTAAAACTGTGTCATCTAGAACTTACCTGGCCACCTGTTTGTAGTTGCATCCGCTTGCTCTGTCCACCTCACCCTGTTTGATTCCAGTGTCACTATCCGGCGTGCTGTATTTTACTTGTTTATTTGACCACTTAGTGTCTGAAAATCAAAGCCCCATGAAGTCAGAAATTAACAAATCTCATGGTGACTGCACATACCCCCTGGGGATCTCTGGTGGAGTGTCTGTAGGGGCTGCTAATCCAAAGACAGCACCTCTCTGGTCGTCTCACTCCATCTCCAGCTCTTTGGGGAAAAGAGGCACAGTCTCCTCATGCGCTTTATGGGCTCGAAAACCGATGGAGGGCCACTTGACAAGAGTGCAGTGAGAGAGAGTGGTCATGGCTAAAGCCGCTGCATCTAGAACAGTGCCTAGCACAGAGATGGTATCTGAGAATTGTTTGTTGAATGAGTGGATAGTGAATGAATCTATCCATGACATCCTGACTGTGAAGGACATCTTTGAGCACACAGGGAAATTTTTACAGATTGCTATTTCTCAGGGGACATGTTTGTGAACTGTCACTTGTAAGCTGAATAGTTGAATGGATAAGTGTTAGAGAAGTGGAATATCTTTTCCAGTTTTTTGACTAATAAATGCCATAACTGGGAATCAGATGTCAGTTTCTGCTGACAGCAACCCCATATGTATCAGAGAGAACTGTTCCATAGGCTTTTCATTGCTATGTTGTTGTTTAATTTTGAATGTATTCTGGCTACTAGCAATACTGTCAGACAAAGTAGAATGGCCCATTAAGGTTGCCACGGCTGCAGTCATAACAGGTGCAGGTGGCCAGATATTTTTACCTGAGATGAGACTGATGGGTTCAAACTGCTGACCTTTCTGTTAGCACTCAGGCACTTAACCACTATGTCACCAAGGCTGCTTCCCCCACCCCCCGTGCCATATTTACCTGTGTTTTGTTAGTAATTTTGGAGTGGTTGTCCTCAGGAAGCCAAATCTAAGTGAATTTTTGTGTTGGGATGCCCCAGCCATCCTTTGATTTGTAGCTTTGTTTTTGGAGACTCCTTCTGCTGTTGTCTTCTACAGCCTTTTAGGAGGTAACGTTCTTACCCATTATATAAAGTAGGACTGCTTTGCTGAAGCATTTTGAAGCATTAGAGGCTGCCACACAACGGAGCTTTCTGAATACATTTTTGAGCTTTGGTCAAATGCCCTCTGTGCTTTTTACCTTTTCAGCCTGGGATCCAGAAGTGGTTGATCATCACACCAAAACCCCTCCACCCTCTCTGCTGTCTCTTCTCTGAGCCTTTCCCTCCTCTTTGTCCTTCTAAGGTGGTAGTTATACACTCTTGTTGGACATCAGAATCACCTGGGTAGTGTTCTTAAAGTTACAGAATCTCAGTCTGTGCTCTCCTCAGATTGTGATTTTCTGAGGTGTCAGATGAGCTCTGGACATCAGCAGGATCAAAAGCAGCACAGATGATTCTGGGATACAGCCAAGGTTGAGAACCACTGGTTTAGTTGTACAGATTAGGTGTGCTGTGCTTAAGTGCAAAGAAGCATTTTCAGTTGTATGTCCAGCAAGGCATCCAGACAGCCCTAGTTGCCATGGTGATCTCTTCAGGGTTCTTGAGAACGGTATTTACAGTGCTCCATGGTCTGTGACTTACAAAGTCCAGCTGAGGTGCTGCCTTCCTAGGGACGTGGATGCAGATACATGTTTTCCTCTTGTGTCCGAGGATAGTTCCTTCTGCTTAGCATTGCACTTTTTACGTATATCAAACTCATTCATCATCCTACTTCTGGCTTTATCCTGCACTATAGATGGATTTCAAGGTAATGTTCTGCCCCTGGTATAGGCAAAAGAGAATGAGAAAAGGACGAGCAATTGGATTTCAGCTCTAGGAAATCTTAGTGTTTAGATCCTGGCATTAAGAGATAACATATAAACTCATTGCTGACCTCTGGACATGGATGGGGAAGATCTCAGAGACAGCATAAAGCAAAATTTCTCTGCCTCAGCACTTTTGATTTGTTGTTATTGTTTTGTACTGTCAACTCGAAGACAACCCATAGCTGACCCTCCCAACAGATTATCAAAGGCAGTAAATCATAGAAGGAGATTGCCCATTTTTCTCACGTGGAGCACTGGTAGATTTGAACCACATACCTTTAAGTTGTCTGCTCAACATCAAGAAGACAAAGATTCTCATCACTGGGCTGGTTGACAGAACCATGATAAATGAGAGAAGAAATTGAAGTTGTGACTCAGGGTGAAGTCTCTCTCAGGGAGGAGTGATAGGGAATGGCAAAGGACACACTGACAAAGAAGATTAATCAGAACTGGCTTTGACAAGCACTGTGGCATTTGGACAAGAACAAACTGGGAGGAGGGTAGAGAGAATAGTGCAACAATGAATGAGTGGAAGCCCAAAATCTCTGTAAATGTTTATGAAAATTAATAAAATATAGAAAAAAAATAAAAAAATAAAAATAAAAAAAAGAAATTGAAGTTGTTCACAATTTCAGTTTGCTTGGCTCCACAATCAACACTTCGGCACCAGCAGTCAGGAAGTAAAAAAATTAATTGCATTAGGGAAATCTGCTCTCAGGGACCTCTCCAAAATGTTAAGGAGCAATGATTAAGGGCATGGTCTTTTCAGTTACTTACTATGCATCACTGAGCTCTGCAGTGACTAAAGAGGACAGAAGAAGAATCAGTGCCTTTGAATTGTGGTGCATGGAGAAGAGTATTGAGCATACCATGGACCGCCAAGAGAACAGACAGATCTTTCCTGGAGAGGGTGAAACCAAACTATTCTTTGAAGGCGAAAGATTTTGAAGCTCCATCTCACATACTTTGGGTATGTTGCAAGGAAGGACCAGTCCTTGGAGAAGGACATCGTGCTTGGAAACATGAAGGAACAACACAGGAGAGGAAAACTCCAGATGGGATGGATTGATTCAGTCACTGGGGTAAT